CGCGCGAAGACAGCGCTTGCCTGGCGCGCCAGGACGTTGGGGAGCCGAGGGGCGGCTTACAGTGGGCCAACCGTGATGAGGAGGAGGAGATAGAGACATTGTCCAAATGGACATCCATTAAAACCGACATCTGGGCCTTGTATTGTATAATGTAATTGTAAACAATAACTGATTGTCTACATTTAAAAAGGTGCGCTGTGTGCATAACGATTGTGTTATGAAAAAAGTGGTAGCAATGAGAAATCTAAGCACTATTTAAGCTGACAATGTACTCTAGATTTTTCATAGAAAACTTTCATATTATATATATCAAAAGCAAATAATTTAAAGTCAATAGAAAGTTTACGTCCTGGGTTAATATTTACAAAGGGTAATGACATTTGTCACATTCTCTATTTTGAAATAATTTATCACCATTTATCATATTGGGCTCCATAATTCAGAATGTACGTTGTTTTTGATCTCTCTCAAAGAAAAAAGTATGAAATAATTATTTGTTTTAAATTGTTTAAATTAATTATCTACTTTTTTTCTTCCTGGGTCTTTTTCCAGTTTCAGGGTATATTTATTGCGACTATCCGCGCGGGATAACTACTATGTTATTCATGGGAATTCGTAGTAACCTTTATATTAGCAGATTATTACGGACTTCCGCGACGACACGTACATGAAAGGCAAGGGACAAACAACTTGTCCACGACGCATGCCGAACTCGAACCCACGACCCTTCAGTCCGAGTGGTTGTGTCGGCAGCACGCTCTAGCCACCTCGGGCATCCAGGTCAAATTAATTATATACTAATTATCGCCATAACAACTATCACCTGTAAGATTAACCACAAAGTTTTCATTACCACCTTCATGTTATGGGCCTTGCTTGATTGCTCATTGTAATTATTTTTATCGATTATTTTCCTTCAGATATTTTTATTAAATATATCGGCCCAGTGTGCGAAGGTGGCGCGCTCTACATTCGTGCACTGCATTATTTCTTTTCCTGTTTCCTTTTCTGCCTTCTCCAGTACTCCTCCGGTGAGCTCTCGAAAACTTTTCCATTCGTCAATTTTTCTTCGGATATCGATCGGATGTTGTAGAGATTTATAAATTTCTTTTCTTGTCTCAGGAAGCATTGGAGAATCCCATGTGCGTGGGAGGAAAAATATGTTTTACATCTTGTGGAGCATTTGCAAGCATTGCTGGTTGCTCCGTTTCTTCGTTTTTCACTTCAAGAGTCAGAGGAAACAATTTTTTGTCCACGGTTTCCGGAATGTACAAAAAGGAAATTTTTTATAAAATGTTTCTATACAATTGAACAAAAAAAGACGATAAATAAGAAAAAATATAATGTAATTATATTAAGTATCGAACTATTAACTTGTATCTCGTAAGGAAAATTTAAAATTGAATTCTCATTACAAAATCTAAAATAAAATGTTTTTAATGTTTTGAGAAACACAGGGTTAAAATTATGTAAACAATATTAGTATCTCTACACTTAAAGAAGATCATGTCGTGATGGTTGAAAGGTCCACCGATGTGGGTTTCACGGACAGATGAGAATTCTAGTGTTAAACTAGTTATTTTACAACAGCTCATACTTTCTTGCATTATTTCTAATATTTGCAATTTTAGAAACTTCAGAGAGTTAAACGAAAATAAACCCACCCCTTTCTTTTAAGTGGCCCTTATTAATAACGTGGAAAAAGTTAGGAACAGTTCTTCTGCAAAAGTTTTTTTTATAAATTGCATAAACTTCAAGAGGAAATCACGCGAAAACCACTCGTTATTTAAAAAAATGTACATGACATTTTCTAAGATCTGATTTTTTAGAACAGATTTGATTTAAGAAATATATGTCATCAATATTCTGCTTTTGCAATGTTACGAATCATTCACTATAGTTTTGTAAATTGATTAGAGTTAGCCGAAAAATAAGACCAACACCAGCATTTTATTTCTTCTGTTAGTTATGAGGAAAAATTTAAAGAAGAAAGTGTGGAGATTTTTTAAAATTATTTTGACCTTTGAACTTCTAGAAGAGCAGATTTGAACCCGCTTAACGGCAAGCGTCATGCTTCAGCACTATATTTTTACCCAATTTTTTGTTTAATGAAGACAGAAAATATTGATATTAATTTGGAAATAAATCTGAGAGGACCTCCCTACTCAGGATTACTCTCGACATGACCGGATAAAAATCCTCAACTATAATGCAGTTTGAACGCGGTCTCTCAAGTTACGAAACGTGTGTCCTAGCATTAGTTGCTAGGACACGCGTTGCCATGACCTGATTTGAAAACACAATGGTTTTTTTGACCTACATTTTAAGTAAAAGTACCCAAAAACTACTCATATTTTCAAAAAGTGATACATCACTTCACTTGAAAGTCTATCTTGAAACTGAATTAATTAACAGACGGACAAATAGACGGACAAACATTTTCTTTACCAGGGACCGAAAATAAGAGTTTTTCTGTTGAAAAATCGCGGATTTCGTCGCACTATTTCAGTACTTTCTCTTTACAACGTACTAATTAAGGAGAGAAAGTAATAAGGATAAAAGAGATTTTTAATATAACTTCACATCAGAACAGAATTCGGTTGGAAGTTACCAAAAAAAGTCCAGTTTTGAAATGCAACCAGTTGTAATGTACACGTCGCGTTAGGCGGTGAGGTTTGCACATTAATATATTTTGACAACAAACTTTGAATTGCATACGTTAGCATTTATTTGCGAGCTCAACAGCAACGCGTTCCGTTAGGTAAATGTGGGCTTTACTTTTTAGAGGCAAGCCTTCCGTTTTCACTTTTGCTCCGGTGTGAGAGTATTTACAATGTAGATTTCTACATATTAATTCATATCGTGTTTTGTGGTATCACCTTAATCCTCGTTACTTCTTGTTTACAAGTTACTTTCCAGTATATCCAATGGAAATCAAAATGAAAGTTGAATTCTGTTGACATTGCTTTTATTTTGATTACACTATTTTCATCATTATAGTGTAATAGTGACGATGGTTTGCAATGTCCGTAAAATTTGACGTTGTACTTAAGTTCCTGGGAGTTGATAAATCATGATATGATGTTGTTATCATATAAGTATATCATATCATATGTCATGACTTAGCATAATCATACACTATAACTCTTTTTATAATCATGATGATAACCAGTGTAATGAAAGACAATATAATTGTAAAAGGAACATACAGAGGTACAAATCATATTAATTGTAAAACGATTCGAAGCGGAAAGCGAAGGTGGAATTATTGAAATCGCTTAATAACGTTATATCATAAAAATGTCAGAAACTCCTCCACGAGTATTTGCTACCAAAATCTACATTAAGATATTCAAAAAGAACCAGTCACTCATAAACTATGTTTTATGACTCTTAATATTCTGATTTCGTAAGCTGTCGGAATCAGAAATGGCCTTAGAATTAATTCCACCAGTAAGCATAAAAGAGATTCCGTACTCTTGCATAATGGCATTATAATACAATTAACCATAAAAAACACACAGTTCCGGAAGCTGGTGAAACGCAATCGGACAAGAAATCAAAACCCCAGCCGCCTCAACACCATTAAAAAACATGGCCGGAGCTGTAATTGATGAAGCCGTGAGAGACGTTGTCGGCCGTGTCCGCTGGCAACAGCTGCCGCGTCTGCGGCCGTGTCGGTGGGGGCGGCCGTGTCGGCGGAGGCGCGAGCACGCCGCGCCGCGTGACGTCAGCGCGCGGGCGCGCAGTGCTGCTCCGTTGCGTCATCGACCCCCGCGGCGGCGCGTGACGTCACAGCTGCGCCGCGGCCGCCCGCGCCAGAACCCGCGCTCGTTTCGCTCCGCGCCCCAGCCTCGGCGACGCGGGGTGGCGCTGCGCGGTGCAGCGCGGCGCGGTGGCTCGGCCTATGAACGCAGTCTGCCCGCGCCGCGCCGCGCCGTTCTGCACGCGCATAGGCCACCTGCCGCCCGCAAGCCGCAACCCTTGCAGGGCGTAGCGAGCCGCACTTTCACTCAGTGCAGAGCGCACCGCTACGCGCTGATTAGGTCTCGATTAATTAGTGATTCCGGTCGCGTCAAGGGCAGCAGCACGTATCCCGTAAGTGTAGTACATGTGTAATGTACGAGCGTAGGCTTCCGCGGCCGAAGTCAGTATTTACTATGCTGTCCGGGTGACGCCGCGTCAATGGCGAAGGTGACGACGTTTCGGTCACCATTCTGCGACCTTCCTCAGGGCGTAATGCATTACACGACGTCACCCGGACATCCTAGTAAATAATGTTTAATGTGGGAGGTGACTGTGATCTTTTCCCCATGGATGATGATATTCTCCCACTGGATGATGATCTTCTCCCACTGGATCTCAAACCTATGAGATTCTGTACCTGTCGGCTAGAGGGGTTTTCCACAACCAGGTATATTCCCCATCGGGGCACCGCCCCAGAGCAAAGCTCCCGATCGGTTTTCTGGCGTGTGTGGCAGTGTAGTACATGTAAGTGTAAGTGTGTGTAAGGGGTGAGGATGGAACAACGAAGAGTAAGGGAAGACCACGCGCGGATTGTGGCCCGTTTGTTACGATTCTGCTCCGGCATTCGCCTGGTGTTGATCGGAGAATCAACAGAAAACTACCGATCTGAACAGCTGGTTGGTAGAATTCTCCTCCAGACAGCGACTGCATTCGACCTAGTTATCTAGCTAATGCGGAAAATCCTGCCACCGTCGGTACTCAAACCTACCACCTCCCGCCCAGAGGCACTGCAGTGACACCATTTGATGCCCTAAGCCACCTCAACCATTACGCCTGCAATTGGTGCGGCTCGGATTCTTGAAAATACTAATTTACCGATTACGAATACTATATCTTAAGTACCATTCATTAAAAGTTTCAAAGTCTACTCAATTAAATTTCCTCGACAGATATGCGTTATTGAATAAAAAAGGTAACCACGATTTCAAATTACATTATTGATACGTATAAATCTGTAAGCAAAAGTACAACAGTTACATATGAATTTGCTGTGGAGTACAATTCTCTTTGGGCAGTGACGGCTGATGTCCCAACAAACTGAGGGTTGCAGTTTCATCCAATGTTGTGAATGTCATTTCTAAGAGTCAAAAACGAATATATGATAAAATAAAAACGATTCATGTGAATTAATTAAAGCTATGTTTAATTAAAGTCTTTATTCAAACTTTACCAACATTATTTAATGCGCAATGTCCGTGGCAGTTACGGTCGCTTCCCCCGCACATTGTTCTTGCATTGATTTTCAATAAGCACTCGAGAGTTTGTATTAGTTCTGTATTAAGACAATTACTGGTCATAAAATTAATACAAAATAAGACCGAACTAGGTTTCGAAAATACGATGATCGCAATACAGCACTTTGTATAAATCACTATTGTTTGGAGAGATTTTACATCACTTCATTTCATTATCTCAGTTGTTATTGCTGCTCCTTGTAGTGGCGATTAAATAAAACTGTTTTACTTAGAAAATGTCACTATTCTAATATTGCAATAATGAAAGAGCAGTATATTTCTAGGAATGTAGTCTCTCTTGAATTGGCAGAGATTCTATCTCCCTTACGAAAGTTGATTTGTCGGCAGCCGCAACAACAATACTTATAGAATAACTATATCTGGATATATACACCCACTCGTATTCACAACTTCGCTTCTGAAATAACTGCCCATGTAATAGAACAGGGATAGAAAGTGGTATTATCTTCTAGAACGTCCCCCTTTGCACAAAGGACACATCAAATTAATATTTTGAATCAACAAAATATCAAGTGAAAATAAATCTCCCACACGTCACAAATAATGCATTCAATACTCTCGAGAATTGACTGAACCTGTGTATTTTTAACAACGTGTAAAATTCATAAAGTTAATTTGCAGATAGTTTCAAACTCAGACGAAAATTGGCAATTCTGGGGAGCCCAACCCACTGCTTTGCGGCGCTCTGCACTCTACGGCATAAATACGTGGCTCTATCGACGGTCGTTGCGGGACGAACGCGCACGGGGTCCATTGTTGAGCTCTAGAAGGCGAGGCCATAGAGGAAACGCAGTAATAGAGCTTAAGAGCGAGACAGCAGTGCACTGCCTGGGAGTGCACGAGACACGAGAATGGGCGTTCCATGGGCACTTCAAACTGATACCTCGAATATTGAATAATATTCAATGAAAATGTTTATTTTTAACATGTTATGTGAAACCTTCTGGTTATCTAGAGGTTAAGTAACCGAGCAACCAAAGCAAGAGCCCCCAAAGTGTGTCTCAGATTCGGGTCAATCTAAACATCAGTTGAATGAGTAACGTGAATAAGTGTAGTGTTTGTTTGTGCGCGTGTGTGTGAATTTACAATTCTCTACGTACTAACAAATAATTTGAACAGAATTAGGAACCTGCTATCAATGTTTTTATTATTGGTATACATTGTTAACACTCCACGAATTTCCATCGCGCAACCGGCCGGGGTGGCTCAGGGTATTAAAAGATGTCACTACAGTGTCTCTGCCCGGGAGGTCCTAGAATTCTAGTTACGAATGATTTTAGACATTAGCTACCTAGCTAAGCCGATTTCAGCCATTGTCTGGAGAAGAAATCTAGAGGTTGGCTACTGTGTTTAGTAGTTTCCGTTTTTTATCCAACCAATACCATCAAACCAGGCAAATGCCTGAACAGTAACCCTAACAAATGGTCACGAACCGCGCGCCATATTTCCTCTCTAACTTGTCCCACTCTCACCCTGTCAACATTGAACACAACACTACACACACAGACCACACACATAAAGAGAGCCACACAACAAGACACACACACACAGAGACACACACACACAGAGACAAGCACACACAGAGACAACACCACACACAGAGACACACACAACAGAGCCACACACTCAGAGACAGCACACCACACACAGAGACACACACACACAGAGACACACACCACACAGAGACACATCACACATAAGAGACACACACACACAGAGACAACAGCACACATCAGAGACAACACACACAGAGACACACACACAGAGACACACACACAGAGACACACACACACAGAGACCACACACACAGAGACACACACACACAGAGCACACACACACAGAGACAACCACACACACAGAGACACACCACACAGAGACACACACACACAGAGACACACACACAGATGACACAGAGACAGACGCACACACAGACACGCACACAGCGACACTAGAGACACTAAGAGACACAGAGACACAGAGACACAGAGACACCGAGACCACCAGACACGCACACAGAACGCACACTAGACACACACACCAGAACCACACACACAGACACACCCACAGACACACACACCAGAACACACACACATTACTTACATGTACGATTACTACACATGCCGGTTTGACCCAGTCGGGAGCTCAGAGCTAGCCACGGCTGGGGCAGTACCCCCTAGTGGGAGAATACGCTGGATTAGAGAAAACGCGCAGGATGTTCGTGTAATTCGGCATCGGATCTCACAATACAACAGGGAAAGAAAACACAAATCACTTCACGTGATAACATGAATTACACTTTAGGAATAATGAGCACAGCAGTTAAAACGGCACGGAAAATGCGAAATAACCCGATCAACCCTAATCTTGCGCCATAAACCGCGAGAGGCGACTGGAGTGCAGCGTTGGCGAGTAGTCGAAACAGCGCGTCGGGGTGCTGGTACCGCCAGTCAAGCAACGCGAATAGGCACGCGCAGCTCGACCGGGTGGCGCGAAAGGGAAGAGTAGAGTAAGTGAATAGCAGCGAGCGAATAGTGATTGTGGCTGAGATCAGTTGGGGCAGACGCCGAAACATTTCAGTAGAAAATTATCGGGTTAGCGGGAAGGCCA